CTACTAACGGAGCCATATTGAAGACTTGAGGATTTGCATAACCCCTTCCTCCAATCGATGCAATACTAGTTCTGCCAGTAGTCCAGAAATCAACGAGCCCATTGGGGTTCATTTTACCTGCTGGTAGATCATATTGTCGAATTGACAGTAGTTCCTAAGGCAGAGACTGAGTAGTTCTATAAGGTATTGTGTTGAGATCTCGACAGGATTTTCCTGTAAGCGTTGAGCTACGCAATCAAAAGCTTAGTCGTGTGGTATGGATGGAAACAAGGCAACTACGTCAAAAGATAGGAGAAATTCATTGTTTCTTACTTTGTGGTCTTGCATCCTAAGAAGGAATACCTACGAGTTGTTGATGTTGTACTCTGATCCATGAGTTAGGTGTTTCAAATTCTTGTACATCCACTTAGCTATATTGTAAGTGGGTGACCCGATGAGTGGTACAATGATCCGCAGTGGGGCATCCGGCTTGTGCACTTTTGGAAGACCATATGCACGAGCGATGCAGGAATCACCAAGTTTCATCCACTTGGCGTATTCAGGTTTTACCACTTTTTGGCGAGCGATCTGATTAATATTTTTCTTGATGGCTGCAGCTTGCTTCTTCGTCGGGTCTTCGGCGAGGAGAGTGTAAGCGTCCGTATCACTGAAAATCGCATTCGCCTTGTTGATATAATCCCCTTAGTCCATGATGATAGTAGCGCCACCTTTGTCAGCAGGAACAGCAACGACGCTCTGATCAGATTTTAGTGATCGCAAGCATTGCGCTTCTTCGGCCGGCAGGATTTTCTGCTGTCTTTGTTTGTGAAGGATACCAGTGGCACAGTTGTGTATATTCACGCACATGTCTTCCAAAATGGCCGAGGTTAGTGGGGTAGATTCTAGGCCTGCTAGAAAGTTGATAGTGTTATAAGGATGGCGACTCGAATGTGTTGTAACGGTGGCATTTGACGTGCGCCACCGTCGAATTACACCCTGTTGATATCCCCAAGGAAGAACACAATAAGAAGGGCATAATCCTAGAATCCACCCGGAGGAGCTGTCTCGGGCGGCTGTTGCCGCTGGTTGATCTCCAGCGCGCTCTTTGTCCCGCCT